ACGTCATCGATGCTGATAGCATAGTAATGTTGATGGAGCCTGCTTCAAAAAGAGCACTTCACTGGAACACATTCAATTACATTTTTTTATGTTCTCATGCAATCTGGTGATAACATTTTCCAATACCATGAAAGAGTAGTTCTTGGTCTGTGGAGCTCTGTTAGGAAATTTCATTCATGACCAGGCAGTGCTTTGATGGTGCTTGTGATATAGACTATTTTCTGGCTCAGTTAAAATTATTAGATTTGGAGGAATAGGAAGCATTCATACAGCTGATGCTTTTATCTTAGATCTTTTCAAAAGACATTATGCATATGATGCTAAAATGGACTAAATCTCAAAAAAGTATATTACCAGCATATTTTCAAGGACAAAGTTTTGTAAACATTCAAATGTTGCTGATGTTGATGTGGGGACTTCAACCCTCCCCCCTCAAAAATGAATTTCAATTCCAAGTTCACTGGAACTTTCCTGATTAGTCCCGTGAAAGCTCTTTGCTGGTGGCCATATGCCAATATCTGCTCTGTGCCCCAGAGTATTGAAGAAGATAATGTCAGCTTCCCACCGGAACACACCAAGCTTTGATAATGAAGATATCCAAAGTAAACAGCTTCAAACAAAATGGAGTTTTAATCATTGTGTAAAACACCCTGTGTGTGTTCTGTTAGGGAATTTCACAGTGAAAATTGATTCAAATGTAAAATAGATGAAAAAACATAATGTTAACAATAGAAATACACAGACTTCTATTATCAGATCCAAGCTAATCAGCTTCAAAAGTGAAGTCTACTGGTAACAGAACAGTAATATTTTAAACTAAAATCTGTAGCAAAGATAAATTTCAAAGCTACAAAGATGTGTTGTTCATGATAATGAGAATTTAAAATAAGTGTCATGCATTTTCCTCAAGACACTGCTTGATATTTACGTCCCATAGTTAAGATTACAGAAATGCCCAGTGGCATAGTGTGGATCACATAAATACCCAGTAGCATAGTGTGGATTACAGTTATGCCAAGTAGCATAGTGTGGATGACATAAAAAAAATAATATAAATGCCCAGTAGTATAGTGTGGTTTACAGAAATGCCCAGTAGTATAGTGTGGATTACAGAAATGCCCAGTAGTATAGTGTGGTTTACAGAAATGCCCAGTAGCACTGTCTGGATAACAGAAATGCCCAGTGGCATAGTGTGGATGACATAAATGCCCAGTAGCATAGTTTGGATTACAGAAATGCCCAGTAGTATAGTGTGGTGTACAGAAATGCCCAGTAGTATAGTGTGGTTTACAGAATTGCCAAGTAGCATAGTTTGGATTACAGAAATGCCAAGTAGCATAGTTTGGATTTCAGAAATGCCCAGTGGCATAGTGTGGATTACAGAAATGCCCAGTAGTATAGTGTGGTTTACAGAATTGCCAAGTAGCATAGTTTGGACTACAGAAATGCCAAGCAGCATAGTTTGGATTTCAGAAATGCCCAGTGGCATAGTTTGGATTACAGAAATGCCCAGTAGTATAGTGGGGTTTATGGAAATGCCTTGTAGTATAGTGTGGATTACAGAAATGCCCAGTAGCATAGTGTGGATTACAGAAATGCCCAGTGGCATAGTGTGGATTACAGAAATGCCCAGTAGCATTGTCTGGATAACAGAAATGCCCAGTAGCATAGTTTGGATTTCAGAAATGCCCAGTGTCATAGTGTGGATTACAGAAATGCCCAGTAGCATTGTCTGGATAACAGAAATGCCCAGTAGCATAGTTTGGATTACAGAAATGCCCAGTAGTATAGTGTGGTTTACAGAAATGCCCAGTAGCATTGTCTGGATTACAGAAAGGCCCAGTGGCATAGTTTGGATTACAGAAATGCCCAGTAGTATAGTGGGGGTTATGGAAATGCCTTGTAGTATAGTGTGGGTTACAGAAATGCCCAGTAGCATAGTTTGGATTACAGAAATGCCCAGTAGCATAGTCTGGATAACAGAAATGCCCAGTAGCATAGTTTGGATTACAGAAATGCCCAGTAGTATAGTTTGGTTTACAGAAATGCCCAGTAGTATAGTGTGGTTTACAGAAATGCCCAGTAGCATTGTCTGGATTACAGAAATGCCCAAAGGCATAGTGTGGATTACAGAAATGCCCAGTGGCATTGTCTGGATAACAGAAATGCCCAGTGGCATACTGTGGATTACAGAAATGCCCAGTAGCATTGTTTGGATAACAGAAATGCCCAGTGGCATAGTGTGAATAACAGAAATGCCCAGTGGCATAGTTTGGATTACAGAAATGCCCAGTAGTATAGTGGGGTTTACAGAAATGCCTAGTAGTATAGTGTGGATTACAGAANTGGATTACAGAAATGCCCAGTGGCATAGTGTGGTTTACAGAAATGCCCAGTAGCATAGTTTGGATTACAGAAATACCCAGTAGCATAGTGTGGATTACAGAAATGCCCAGTAGCATTGTCTGGATTACAGAAATGCACAGTGGCATAGTATGGATTACAGAAATGCCCAGTGGCATAGTGTGGTTTACAGAAATGCCCAGTGGCATAGTGTGGATTACAGAAATTCCAAGTGGCATAGTGTGGATTACAGAAATTCCAAGTGGCATAGTGTGGATTACAGAAATACCAAGTGGCATAGTGTGGTTTACAGAAATGCCCAGTGGCATAGTGCGGATTATAGAAATGTCCAGTGGCATAGTGTGGATTACAGAAATGCCCAGTAGTATTGTCTGGATTACAGAAATGCCAAGTGGCATAGTGTGGATTACAGAAATACCAAGTGGCATAGTGTGGTTTTCAGAAATGCCCAGTAGCATAGTTTGGATTACAGAAATCCCCAGTAGCATAGTGTGGATTACAGAAATGCCAAGTAGCATTGTCTGGATTACAGAAATGCCAAGTGGCATAGTGTGGATTACAGAAATATCCAGTAGCATAGTGTGGATTACAGAAGTGCCCAGTAGCATAGTTTGAATTTCAGAAATGCCCAGTGGCATAGTGTTGATTACAGAAATGCCCAGTGGCATAGTGTGAATAACAGAAATGCCCAGTAGCATAGTTTGGATTTCAGAAATGCCCAGTAGTATAGTGGGGTTTACAGAAATGCCTAGTAGTATAGTGTGGATTACAGAAATGCCCAGTAGCATAGTTTGGATAACAGAAATACCCAGTAGCATAGTGTGGATTACAGAAATACCCAGTAGCATAGTTTGAATTTCAGAAATGCCCAGTAGCATAGTTTGGATTACAGAAATGCCCAGTAGTATAGTGTGGATTACAGAAATGCCCAGTAGTATAGTGTGGTTTACAGAAATGCCCAGTAGTATAGTGTGGTTTACAGAAATGCACAGTAGCATAGTTTGAAATTTCAGAAATGCCCAGTACTATAGTGTGGATTACAGAAATGCCCAGTAGCATAGTGTGGATTACAAAAATGCCCAGTAACATTGTCTGGATAACAGAAATGCCCGGTAGCATAGTTTGGATTTCAGAAATGCCCAGTGGCATAGTGTTGATTACAGAAATGCCCAGTAGCATTGTCTGGATTACAGAAATGCCCGGTAGCATAGTTTGGATTTCAGAAATGCCCAGTGGCATAGTGTGGTTTACAGAAATGCCCAGGTGGTTTACAGAAATGCCCAGTAGCATAGTTTGGATTACAGAAATATCCAGTAGCATAGTGTGGATTACAGAAGTGCCCAGTGGCATAGTTTGAATTTCAGAAATGCCCAGTGGCATAGTGTGGATTACAGAAATGCCTAGTAGTATAGTTTGGATTATAGAAATGCCCAGTAGCATTGTCTGGATTACGGAAATGTCCAGTAGCATTCTCTGGATTACAGAAATGTCCAGTAGCATTGTCTGGATTACAGAAATGCCCAGTAGCATTGTCTGGATTACAGAAATGCCCAGTAGCATATTTCAGATTACAGAAATGCCCAGTAGCATAGTTTGAATTTCAGAAATGCCCAGTGGCATAGTGTGGATTACAGAAATGCCTAGTAGTATAGTTTGGATTATAGAAATGTCCAGTAGCATTGTCTGGATTACGGAAATGTCCAGTAGCATTGTCTGGATTACAGAAATGTCCAGTAGCATTGTCTGGATTACAGAAATGCCCAGCAGTATTGTCTGAATTACAGAAATGCCCAGTAGCATATTTCAGATTACAGAAATGCCCAGTAGCATAGTTTGAATTTCAGAAATGCCCAGTGGCATAGTGTGGATTACAGAAATATCCAGTAGCATAGTGTGGATTACAGAAATGTCCAGTAGCATTGTCTGGATTACTGAAATGCCCAGTAGCATTGTCTGGATTACAGTAATGCCCAGTAGCATTGTCTGGATTACAGAAATGACCAGTAGCATTGTCTGGATTACAGAAATGCCCAGCAGCATTGTCTGGATTACAGAAATGCCCAGTAGCATATTTCAGATTACAGAAATGCCCAGTAGCATAGTTGGATTACAGAAATGCTGAGAAGCATTGTTTGGATTCTGTGTTTTCAAACTGTTCTTTCTCAGCACATAAGTATACATTTTATAACATGAATTTGCACAGATTTTAATGCTTACTCTGTCTCGGGGGAACAATTGAGATCCAATGAATAAATAAAATACAGAAGATGCTATTTACTGCATGCTTATCTTGTGCTTAATGGTTCTGAAGTTAAAAAGATGCTCCTTACTGCTGGCTTATCCTTGGGTAAGTTCTTCAGAAGTTTAGAGACATTACTGCAGGCTTATTTTGGGGTCGGTGGTTCAGAAGTTAAGAAAAGGTTACTAACTGTTGGCTAAAATTTGGGTAAATGGTTCAGAACTAACAAAGTGGATATTTGCTGTTAGCTAATCTTGGGGAATGTGGTTCTGAAGTTTAGATGAAGTTTTTTGCTAATGGCTAATTTAAGGTAAGTTGTATTGAAGTTAAGAAGAGGTTACTTGCTGTTGGCCAATTTTCAGGTAAGTTTTATTGAAGTTAAGAAGAGATTACTTACTGTTGGATCATCTTGGGCTAAATGGTTCAGTAGTTTGGACAGGCCTCGCTCTGTTGGCTGACCACAGGCATATACTGAAAAAGGCCCATTGACCTTGTGTAGGTTTGGTGTGCGGTACTGCTCCATGGACAATTTTTTATCCATCTTATCATTTACATCTCTCACCAGGAAGTACTTGCCCTGAAAAACAATAAAAGCAAGGTTGCATAACTGTTACATAGTAGTTTGTGTATAGGTCAAGGTCACAACCAATATACATATATGTATATAAAACCTATGATGACCTTTAACTCTGGCCAGTCCTTAGACCACAATGTATACTAGAAGATTTGAGCTTCTTGTCTAAACAACAAACTGAAGTATGACTGTTCTAAACTTCATATTCATTAGATAATGCAGATTGAAGTATTTAATATAGTTGACCTATGTGACCTTGACAGTATGTCAGTTGACCCTTGACCCCAACACACTATCTTGCACTGCCAGTCTTCTGGACTTGTTCAAATGTCAAAGCTTTATACCCTATGATTCTTTAGTTAAAGTTGTTTAAAATATTCAACATATTTGACCCCTGTGACCTTGAAGATATGTCAAGGTCATTTATATGAACAACCTTGTAGCACTCCTCCCAAATACCTGAAATACCTGTTGGCCAAATATCAAGACAATGAGTCTTTCAGTTTCAAGAAGAATTGTTAACAAAAAAGTTGATGGCCAGAGGGATGATGAGCACAAGTGCACATACAATAACCTTACAGGTATTTGGTGTCAGTTGAGATAAAACCAGAAGTATTTCTCATTTTTATTTCCCTGTGAAAACTGTACATTCTGGGGACAGTTGTAAAACAACAATCAAGCTGTCACGTCTAAAAATCAAGCTATCAAGTTTGAAATACTATAACATATCAAGCTCTCTATAACTCCACAGGTCTCACCATCTACAGTGCATGCTAATAACTTGCGAGTTCCATTATATTCCAAAGGTATTATTATAAAACCACTTTAATGCATACTAACATGGACAGATAAATCAATTTAGATTAGAATCCCTTTAGCTTTAAGGAAGAGCAAAAATCCCTTATTTTATGACAAGAACCTTACATGGCAATTTAAACAACTAACTTTATTTTTTTAATTTTACATCACATCAAAAGAATTTATAAGGCAGTAGAAGAAATTCTGTATTCTACATTAGTGTCCATCAACAGCACACAGCACTCTTAATAAACTAATAAAGGCAGGTTCATGTAACAGAAAGCAGCCATACATTATTTCATGCAGGCGCAAAGGATATTCTATGACACGTGTAACCATGGCAACCAAAAACCTATTTGTCTATTTTTCATTTTCTTAATTGTTTTGTTCCTTTCTCAAATTTTGTTCCTTTCTCAAATTGGATTCTGGTCAAAACTATTGCTGTCTATCTCCTGGGTTCATACAACTGTCTGTGAAGTAAAATCTTTATAATGCCATTACAATCTCTTAACTATATTTCAGTTAATGAAAGTGCAAATTGTTTTTGAGGGGATTTTTCATGAAGAATAATACAGTTTCCTGATGGTAATTACAATAAGATACCATTTTTATATTCTTGGAGAATGGTGTTTGTAATGTGCACTGTTCACATAGAATAGGATTCAGAATAATTAAATGGCCACTTTTATTAATCTCAAAGGAAATTTTCTTTCGTTCTAATTATAGATCTGCTATTAGATCTTCAATATTCTTCAAACTACACATGCATCTTCTGTGGTAATTTGTGAATGAACATGCTGCTGAAATATCACTACTGTTGTCAAGGCATGGTGTTGTGTACAGAGGCCAGGCTGCTAAGGGTGAAGGAGGACAACATCACAAGCTGTTGTCAAGGCATGGTGTTGTGTATGAAGGCCAGGCTGCTAAGGGTGAAGGAGGACAACATCACAAGCTGTTGTCAAGGCATGGTGTTGTGTATGGAGGCCAGGCTGCTAAGGGTGAAGGAGGACAACATCACAAGCTGTTGTCAAGGCATGGTGTTGTGTATGAAGGCCAGGCTGCTAAGGGTGAAGGAGGACAACATCACAAGCTGTTGTCAAGGCATGGTGTTGTGTATGGAGGCCAGGCTGCTAAGGGTGAAGGAGGACAACATCACAAGCTGTTGTCAAGGCATGGTGTTGTGTATGAAGGCCAGGCTGCTAAGGGTGAAGGAGGACAACATCACAAGCTGTTGTCAAGGCATGGTGTTGTGTATGGAGGCCAGAATTCCAACGGTGACTGAGGACAAAGTCATGAGCATGTTAAAACTACGTAATTTTGAACTCCTATATCCAAATGACAATAAAATGTCTTGTCATCCTAAAGAGAAACGACAACAGGAATTTAAAATCTTAAAAATAATGTAAATTTTTGCTGGTACGAAGTTTGTATTCATGTTAATTTTCTTTCTTTCAGCAAAATCCCTTTCAAATACAGTGTACTGCACGACTCTAAGAAGACATATGAGACAGGAATTTCCGGACACTCTACTCATAAACCTCACTGGAGCAGGCTTACAACTTTTATGTAGTGATTCCTAGGAGATCAAGAGGAAAAGGACTGTGACATGTTAATTAAAGCTTGAAGTGGTTTTTTTTCTCACTTGTTCAATGATCAAGATAGTGGAAACGCTCATACCACATAAAACACAAGCACAGATGACAATCATCTCGCACTATCTTTATTTTCAAACAGAGTAACAAATGATACATGTTAAGTACATTCTATTAAAATAAATACTTAAGAAATTATTTTGGAAATGATTTTTTGGTTCGTGTATACAATCAATATTATCGTACTTTTAAGCTATTCTGTTATATCTGTCCAAGATATTTAATTTCTTCTTTGAAACACACGGGAGGATGAAAGTTTAGCTCCTCCAAATGAAAATAGGATTTTTGTTAACTAACACTTCTCGGTAATTTGCCAGGCATCGAAAATTCCTGTACATGTAATGTTAATTAAGTTTGTGCGCGTTTCGGAGAATAGCACATAATATTTGTCCTATAGGTATGTGAAGATCGTATTAGGACGAGTAATTTGTGCGATTTGGCATTGACCAATGAGGTTGGAGCATGTGTGTGGGGTAGGACACGGGTGGTTGTTATTGTGTCATTCTAGCTTCGGATGTAGACGAAACATACAAGTTTTAAATCTAAATTGATTTTAATTTTATTTCATATGGAATGTTATGTACATGAATACATTGAGAATATATGGGAATCATATTTATGTTGGATGTATAGAAACCCTAGCGAAAAAAGAAGAAAAAAAACAGACAAAATAATATGCTCTGCCTCCATATGAATTTGACTAAGCAACAGACTTAAACACTCTGCCCCCAAATAAATTAAAAAAAAATAACAGATGAAGCCACAGACTTATACAATCTGCCCCCATATACATTAGACTGAAGCCACAGACTTAAACATTCTGCCCCCATATACATTAGACTGAAGCCACAGACTTTAACATTCTGCCCCAATATACATTAGACTGAAGCCACAGACTTATACACTCTGCCTCCATATATATTAGACTAAGCCACAGACTTATACACTCTGCCTCCATATATATTAGACTAAGCCACAGGCTTATACACTCTGCCTCCATATATATTAGACTTTGCCACAGACTTATACACTCTGCCTCCATATATATTAGTTTAAGCCACAGACTTATACACTCCATCGCTGATTACTACAATTTTTTTATAGGCACATTTTGACATTTTAAGGTCTTTCTGATGCATTATTTGTGGCTATGGGGGTAGTTTACAGGACATCTGTAACAGTTTCTGTTAAAATTAAAACTTGTACAAATTTTATTGTGATGTTTATAGTATCATGTGACATTTCAGATTACATATGAATACAACATAAGGAGACATATGCAAATGTATACAGTGAAGTACTGAAACATTCTTTTCATACCTAAAGTGAAAGTAGACTTTCTCACATCTTCACCTAATGTACCAGAGGATGGTCATCCTCGATATCCAGGGGTTACGCTCACTTTCACTCTGTACACCCCTGGAATATGTCATAGCAAAATTGAAGGCTCGGTGTGCGCCACCTTGTTGATGATACAAGAAGACTAGTTTGATCCTTTGATATACATCAAAAGAAGTCAGGCATCTCTCCTTTGTAATCTTCAAAGGACAGGGATCAGCATAGCGATTGGTCAGTTTTTTTTACCTGAGACCAATCAAACAGCTATCTTCGTGCCTTCAATTTCGCTATGACATATTCCAGGGGTGTAAGAGAGCGAAAGTGAACGTAACCCCTGGATATCGAGGATGGAGGATGGTCAGTTCTCAGGCGTGTATACCTTACATCTCATTGTTTAAGGGTACCTGTCCCACTACAATGTAGTTTTTCATGTAGTGAGCAACCTCCCCTCAATTTTGTTTTTGGATATAACAGTTGCGCAGTTGAGCCAGAACACTTCAGTTGACTATAGGTATACATAGCTTATGGTCGGTTAGGGCAATTGTTTACCATTCTGAAGTCCAGGGTTCGAATCCCAGTCTAGCCCTGCTCATTTTTTACTTTCAGAATATTGATGTTGATTATATTTTGTTTAATTCATCTTCATAAATGTTCATGAAGTTCTGCATGGTATGTTTTTTTCAGTAATTATTTATCCAAGCTATATTCATTATATTCCGATGCTTTGTTACAGTTTCTGATGCTTTGTTACAGTTTCCAATGCTTTGTAACAGTTACCGATGCTTTGTTACAGTTTCCGATGCTTTAATTGTAACAGTTTCTGATGCTTTGTTACGGTTTCTGATGCTTTGTTACAGTTTCTGATGCTTGGTTACAGTTTCTGATGCTTGGTTACGGTTTCCGATGCTTTGTTACGGTTTCCGATGCTTGGTTACAGTTTGCGATACTTTGTTACAGTTTCTGATGCTTTGTTACAGTTTCTGATGCTTTGTTACCGTTTCTGATGCTTTGTTACAGTTTCTGATGCTTTGTTACAGTTTCTGATGCTTTGTTACAGTTTCCTATGCTTTGTTACAGTTTCCGATGCTTTGTAACAGTTTCTGATGCTTTGTTACAGTTTCCGATGCTTTGTTACAGTTTCCGATGCTTTGTTACAGTTTCTGATGCTTTTTTATAGTTTCTGATGCTTTGTTACAGTTTCTGATGCTTTGTTAC